TTGATGACATATATTCCGATGGTAATTGTGGTGAAAGTAGTGCTTCATTTATGGTAGACGCCAAGAAAAATCGAAAAGCACTTCTTGAAACAAGGGATCAAAGGCCCTAAATACCAGATTCTTCTTGGTAATTTGAAGGAACTCTCCACCTTGAATTTGAGAGCTTCCACTCAACCTATGCCTTTGTCACACAATATTCTTCCCAGGGTTCTTTGCTTCTACCATCATTGGAAGAAAATCTATGGTAATTTCTTTTTTTTTTTTTTTTAAATAGTTTTCTTGATTGCAATTTTGTTACTTGTTTTTCAAATATATGTATATATACACACACACACAACATTACTACTCTGCCAAGAAAGTTGGTGTGAGCTGTGTTGATCATTGTGTGTGTGTGTTTTTGTTTAGTAGGGTCTACACTATATCCATTGCCTTAGTAATAATAATATGTTAAAAATTAAAAACACTCTTTGTTTTTTTTAAACTAATTTGTTTTAGTTAGTTGAATTAGTGAATAGGACATGCAATTTATGTTGTTTTAAAATTGTTGGTAAAAATTGCAGGTTCGGTGTTCCTAGTGTGGTTCGGGCCAACACCGCGGCTGACAATATCCGACCCGGCAATGATCAGAGAGATATTCGTATTGAAATCGGAACATTTCGAGAAAAACGAGTCGCCCCCACTTGTTAGGAAGATTGAAGGCGATGGTTTGTTGAGCCTCAAAGGACAAAAATGGGCTCACCATAGAAAGATTATTCAACCCACTTTCCACACCGAAAATCTCAAGGTATAATAATAATTATTCAAATTATTATTTACTAAATATTAGATCCATTTTTTTGTTAAATTCATTTAATTGTTAATTTTTTAAATTGATCAATGTAGTTGATGATACCAACGATGGCGAAAACAATGGAAGAAGCGGTGATGAAGTGGTCGGAAGAAATGTCGAATTCCGGCAAAGTCGAAATCGAAGTTTCCGATTGGTTTGAGAAATTGGTGGAGAACGCGATTACCAGAGCTACTTTCGGAAGCAGCTATTACGAAGATGGTAAAGCAATTTTCCAATTGCAGTCGCAGCAAATGCTTTACGCCACCGAGGCTTATCAGAAGATCTTCATCCCTGGCTACCGGTAAATAAAATTAAAATTAAAATTGAATTTTGTGTTTTTTTTTAATTTAATTAATTAAATTCGAATTTGATTATTTAATTTAATCAATTCGAAAAAATTAGGTTTCTGCCGACGAAAAAGAATAGAATATCTTGGGGATTGGAAAAGGAGATTCGGACATCGTTATTGAAGCTCATCGATCGGAGGAGGAGGAATTGGGGTAGTGGTGGCGGTGGTGGTGGAAATTGTCAGGCGGTGTCAGACGAATGTCCGAGCGATTTATTGGAGCTCATGATTAAGGCGAGCCTCAAAGACAGCGCCGATTGCGAATCGCCGTCGTCGGCGGCGGCGGCGGTGGCAATCACGGCGAACGACGTGGTGGAGGAGTGCAAGACGATATTCTTCGCCGGGAAGCACACAACCTCGAATCTGCTGACGTGGACGACCGTGCTTCTGGCCATGCATCCCCAGTGGCAGGAACAGGCACGTGAGGAGGTCCTGAGGGTGTGTGGGGCACGTGACACCCCTACTAAAGATGATCTCGCTAAGCTCAAAACGGTATGGTGTGGTGTATACATTTATTATTTTATTTATTTTTTCATTCTCTTCTGGTGGTCCCCCCACCCCTCCCTCAGCTCAGATATATTTAAATTCAATTTAATTAAATTAATAAAAAAATAAATTTAATTCTGCATTGATAAATGTTCCCAGTAAGTATAAATAAAAATTTTGGGGGAAAAAAAATAAAGAGCATTACTTTAGCATGTGTTGGATGCGCAAAAAAGGGGTCTTATCTTCTGGGTAGTAGTTTTTCTAGGTGACATAATTAAATGATATACTATATATTATATTTCTCCTAAATAAATATCAATTTTGGAATGTCTAATAAATTATTTAATTGTTGTATAAAAAAGACAAAATCAAATATTTGGTATGTATTATGGAATTATTATTGATCAAGTGAAATCATTATTTTGGAGCAATTTTTATGCCAAAACACTAAAAAACAAGAGTTGTGAAATTATTATTATTATTTTTAATTAATTAATTAATTAATTTGTGTCCAACCCATATGCAGCTGGGAATGATTCTGAACGAATCACTGAGACTGTACCCACCAGCAGTGGCAATAATCCGACGGGCCAAGGCGGATATGCAGTTGGGTGGGCTCCACATCCTACGTGGCACGGAGCTACTAATTCCAATCCTGGCCGTCCATCACGACCCATCTCTGTGGTGCCACGATGTACACGAGTTTAATCCAGCGAGGTTCGCCAAGGGCGTGGCTCACGCCGCCAAACACCCGATGGCTTTCATGCCCTTCGGCTTGGGGGCGCGCCGCTGCATCGGCCAGAACCTAGCCGTTATGCAAGCCAGATTAGCCGTCGCAATGATCCTCCAGCGGTTCACCTTCGAGCTGGCGCCGACCTATCAGCACGCGCCATCTGTCCTCATGCTCCTGCACCCGCAGCACGGCGCGCCGATTGTCTTTAGGAAATTATAATATATTATAAAGTCGCGTTTCACGTTTTTCTCTTAATTGTTTTCTCCTTCTGACGTGTACACGTTTCACTTAGGGGTTTTAGATTTTTCTTTTTTCTTTTTTTTTTTTAATTTATCCCTCTAACTTAGATGAATGAATGTTGGATAGTTTTCAAATATTTCCACTAGTTTGCTTCGCCCCGAAATTCCGGCATGGGGAAGAGCTATTCGTCGAATATCGATTTTTAAAAAAATGTATCTCGTTCTATCTCTGGTGTTCGATTTATGTAAATTCTTGATTTATGCTTTTTTGTATACATCTTTATTTTTTTTAAAGTTATAACTTATATATATTGGCATTGTGACATCTCTTATTGTTGGTTCAGTGGAATTATTATTATTTTTTTAATTTATTTTATAATGCGCCTATATAGCGAAAACAATATAGGTTCATTAGGTAAATACACAATATCGTTGAATTTTTTTTTCTATAAAAGAAAATAGTTAATTGTTTATAAATTAAATTAAATTGAATATACTAAATATATCATCCACTCTATATTCAACCACATTATATGAAGAAAAAATAAATATTTTACGTGTGATTGTGGGTAAAGTAGATATCTTTATTTGGTGCATTGAGTAAAACATGCAATTGGATTGGAAGTTGGAACCACCCTCGAAAAGCAAAATTAAGTTCACCTTTTTTATATAAATTTGTAAAGAACTATGATTAAATTATCTATTGTCCAATATTAATACCGATGCGGGATCACTTAAAATGAGTATGTATTTCGAACTAGAGAATTGTTTAAGAATGCAGGTTCGAATGTCACGAGCTTTGCGTTGATCTAAGTATACGATGTTTGTTTGTTTTTTTCTAGAAAACCACTTAATACACAATGTGACACGTTATAGAGTTCCCGGCGATTGCACGCCAACGCTTAAGTCAGATGACCTTGTGTGTTGATAATTAACTCAATACTTACAAAAAATTAAGTCAATAACAAATCACGTACCTTAAAATTTTGATTACGGTGAAGATTAAAGGTCACAAGAATTGTTAATATTTAATCAATGTGGGATGATAATTCCTTTTACTTTAATTAAGGAATAAGCCACATCAAATACCATACATTAATACAACAAAAAGGTCAATGAAAAGAGTATTTAATATTTACAATCAATTTGATCATTCTCTACATATATTTAGCACTACAATATTGATAAGCTAGCTAGTTTTTATCCTCTTCGGTTTTTAATTAATTGTCGTTTTTTCAGTTTTGCAAAAGTATTAAGAATGTCAATAAACGTGCTTTGATTTTTGTAAAAACTCATTAAAAGACTAAAATAATCCTGATCACTTAATAACGCGACAAAAGAATTCATACTTAGAGTTAAATCTAAAGTGACGTATAATACGAAATAAAAATATTTTAAAAAACCGACAGTTATTATGTGGACAATAGCAAGCTGGCATGTCTAAAAAGAAAAGAAAATGAAGAATTAAACATATAACATTAAACAAAGATGGGAGTATTAATGAAGCAATAATTGATCAATAATATGGCAACAAAAACTAATCACTAAAATAATTCAATAATCAAACGGTGGGAGTGATAAACATGGGTAGTTGACACTAATTAATTAAACTCAACTGTACTTTGGGGCCATTAATTACATTCTTAAATAATTTATTTAAATGCTGTTCTGGAATAAAAAGGAATTAAACTTGGATTCCAAATAAAGGAATTTACTTGGCAAGTACTGTACATCTTAATCAGATTTTTATATTCCATTTTTAATTAGCTGGAGATTAGCAGATTTGAAGTCCAGATTAATTAATTAAATAATAATTGCATGATTAGAAATATTTCATGTGTAGAAATAAATTCTGAATAAATTCCTTGATCCCAGGAATATTTCTTTTGAGTTAATATAATCCCCTTGTCCTAATAACTGATTAATTAAGATAGTTAGTTAATTAATGCCAGCTAATTTACTTAAACCATGCAAAACCTAATTTAAATATAGGCTTACTTGAATAATGACAAACTTAATTCATGCCGAACTTTACGGAAGGGAAGAAAACGCTATCTGCTTCAGTAGCACTTCTTCTTGAAATACGTTTTTTTGCTGTATTTAGGTGGGAATTAAACAATGTTTATTTTTCAATTTTTATAATTTTTTTTTTAAATTTCAAAACAAAAACAAAAATCAGAAATTTGATGGGCCTAACCCAAACCACTAAGTTTGATGGGCCCAAAGAATTATAGGCCCAATAAAAAGCTCTCTAGTAAGCCCGTTTGGATATTAGGTGGTGTTTGCAAATGATTATTTAAAAGCAGAAGTTAGTGATTGTGATTTAAGTTAGTTTTAAGTGCTTATTTCTAAAAGTTGGGGGTGTTTGCAAATATTTCGGAAAATGAACTAAAATTGAAAAAGCAGGGTTATGGGTGCTTTTAAAAAAATAGCTTAAAGCAGATTATTTTAAGAGAAGCAAAAACAAAAGTTGATTTTGCAAACACCTAAAAACAGATTATGAGCAAAAAAAACCGCATAATCACTTTCAAAAAGCATTTGCAAACACCACCTTAGTTAAGCGAATTACGCTTAATTACGAGCCAAGCCCGCATTAAGAATTATCTCAAGTTTTCTTTGTAGTAGGATTTTCGTCGGGAAAAAGCCCCGACGCTGTTACGTATTATTTTTTGTATGCGGATAATAATACATGCACGATTTTGATTATGAATATTATTTAGAACTGTTTAATTAGAAGTTCTAGTACTCGGCCCGTATGATGCACGAGGATATTCATCATATAAATAAATATTTGATTATAAAACAGTTTTATAACTTTATTGAAATAGAAAGACCAAAAGTGGATATGCAATATAAACTAGTAGAAAAATATACAATTTTTGTTTTTTGTTTTGATGCAAGTAGTTAATTAAGTCCGGTGAAAAAGGATAAATATCGTTTACAAAAATTGAGTACATCCTTCGTTACAAAAATTGAGTACAACCATAATGCCAATTATTTCAAAATTTTCGATTTTCCAAATCAATTATTAAAATTGTGTTTGATAATCATTGGCTTCGCTGCGTGTTGCATGTCGAATACAATAGTTCAACATAAAATTATTGAACAGTTTATATAGAATAACTGATTTATATATATAATACAATCCAAAATAATACATTACATAGATGTTTATTCTAAAACGCATGTTTTCATCCTTTGATTTATCTTTAACCAATTTCCCCCAATTTTTAAATATCAAAATTGCATTATTATCTTATTGTATTGCAATTAAATTTCGAAATTTGATCTAATTTTGGCCATGAGTTTCCTTACTGCATACGTGGCATTTTCTCAGCCAATCGGACCCCTATGCTCCTCTATTCTGCGCCACCCCGCACGAAAAAGGCATTCCAACGGCCACCAGCCAGCCATGTCACTCTTCCCCCAAAGCGTACATTAGCAAAACCCTCCCTAGCCTTTCTACATTAAGGCGGGAAACACGTAGACCGTTTAAAAACCACCCCATTCCTTTCTACATTTGAACCCGACAATGGCATCCGGGTCGAACTCTCTGATGTGGTTCAGAAAGGGGCTCCGAATCCACGACAACCCGGCGCTGGAGTGCGCGGCCAGGCGGGCGGAATTTCTGTACCCGGTCTTCGTAATCGACCCGCACTACATGGAGCCCGACCCGAATGAATTCTCCACGGGCTCGAAACGGGCCGGGTTGAACCGGATCAGGTTCCTGCTCGAGAGCCTGGTGGATCTCGACTCGAGCCTCCGAAAATTAGGGTCGCGTTTGCTCGTGCTCAGGGGCGAGCCTAGCGAGGTCTTGTTCCGCTGCTTGAAGGAGGTAAAATTGGGTTTATTAAATAACTTAAATTAAGAATTTTTAACCTCCATTGGAGCTCTGGTTTAATCTATGCTCTATTGAAGTGTTTTTTTAATTCCTTTTATGTAGTAATGAAGATATTTTTATAAGTTGTATGTTAATCTTCTTCGGGTAAATTACGAAAATGCCCTTCAACTTAAGCTAAATTACGTAAAATCTTCCCTGATCTTTGTTTTCGTCTTACGCCGACACCCCTGTGGTGTGATTGTTTACGTAGTCTTTTTTTATTCTAGTTATTTTTTTGCCCAAGAATGCCGATATAACCGTGCAGATGTCGTCGACATATTGTAGATAGCCATGCACTTTGTTTAAAAAAATGCGTATGTATATGCTATGATGGTTTATATTAGCCATCAGGAAGTCTACTGACATTGAAATGTGATGTTGAAGAAAGAGAGGTTATTGTAGAAGGTATGCTCTTAGGGGTATAATTGGCATTTTTGGGAAAAATAACACCGTAAGTGGTTGGTTTCAGACGGAAACAAACGTCGGGGGATTTTGGTAACTACGGATAGATTGGGTTTTTTTTGTAATTTAGCCTAACTTCAAGGAGTTTTTCGTAATTTACCCCGTTTCTTCTGAACCATCAGTGGAGCATAAAGAAGCTATGCTTCGAGTTCGACACAGATCCATATTATCGATCTTTGGACGACAAAGTCAAGGTAAGTAGTAGTGTTCATCGATTTCTTGAAAAGCAGAATTCAAGAATTTTCATTGTATGAATATTTCATTTTGCATCATACAGAGATATGCTACTGGTGCGAGTGTCGAGATTTTCTCTCCGGTGAGTCATACACTCTTCGACCCTGCAGATATTATACACAAGGTACGTACGAATCTCCGCAAATTATTACAACACGTCGGAACGTTCTTCTTTCGATTGAATGATCGTATTCGTTCGGTGGTTCCTAGAATGGGGGAAGACCGCCTTTGACTTATCAATCTTTCGTCAAATGCGCCGGGGAGCCCTCTTGGGCCTCGTCTCCTCTTGCAACCGAGCTTACGTCGCTTCCTCCAGTTGGAAGTTTAAAGAATTGTCCGGTTGTAGAAGTCCCGTCAATCGAGGAACTCGGCTACGAGGAGGCACACGAGGATGAGAGGACTCCCTTCAAAGGCGGTGAATCAGAAGCGTTAACAAGATTGAGAGAATCGATTTCGAACAAGGTATTCAGAAAAAATACGTTCCGTTTTTTTTTCTGGTGCATATATAGTTAATAAGATTCTGCTCGTTTCTTTTTGCAGGAGTGGGTGGCTAAGTTTGAGAAACCGAAGGGAGATCCCTCTGCGTTTCTAAAACCAGCAACAACTGTTTTATCGCCTTACTTAAAAGTAGGTTGTTTACATTTACTATTGATATTTCGTTATTTTCGTAAATCTTTCTAAGCTATTTCTTTCTCCAAATATTTTCGAAGTTCGGTTGTCTTTCTTCGAGGTACTTCTACCAATGTATTCAAGAGGTTCAGAGAGATGTCGGAAGGCACACCTCTCCCCCGGTTTCCCTTCTCGGGCAGGTTCGTCTACCATTTTTACATATTATATAACAGTAGGTATCACGGATCTCCGTCAAGCTGATAAAACCTGAATTTCGACAGCTGTTATGGCGAGATTTCTTCTACACGGTTGCTTTCGGCACTCCTAATTTTGGTCAGATGAAGGATAACAAAATCTGCAAACAGGTATCGAAATTTTCCGATATTGATTGGCAAATTTGCCGAGAGAGTGTTATCATTTGCGTTTAAAGAGGAGTTTCCTGCTATCTTTCTTTATCTGTTTATATGTTCGAAGCATTCAATTCGTTTCTCGTACACGTGCTACAATGTTACGACAGTTTATTCTGGAAAAAAAAATCAATGCAAAGTTCAATTAATCATCTCTCTATATCCGCGTCTCGAATTCGAATCACTCCATTCAAAGTGATTAACAACTCGGTTCTCATTTTACGTGAGTTTGTATAGATACCATGGAAAAACGACGATGAATTGCTAGCTGCTTGGAGAGATGCGAAGACGGGATTTCCATGGATAGATGCTATAATGATGCAGGTTAGTTTTAAATTCCGGTCCCAAATTCTATTTCTCGTGGAAAAAAAAATACATTTGAACTTTATTTTGAATTAAAAAACGTAACAGCTAAAAAAATGGGGCTGGATACACCACCTTGCTCGGCACTGTGTTGCTTGTTTCCTCACGCGTGGCGATCTGGTAAATTGACTTCAATAGTATAGCCACACACAAAATATCTTGTCTGATTCATAACGTGGGCAAAATTCCGTCACTTGTCGCAGTTTGTACATTGGGAAAAAGGGCGCGATGTTTTTGAGAGACTTCTAATCGATTCGGACTGGGCTATCAATAATGCCAACTGGCTGTGGCTATCGTGTTCGTCGTTCTTTTACCAGGTTTTTGTAAAATACTGTGTCGTTACTGTAATACCGTGTCGTAATTCGGCAAGTCAATAGTTTCTGATTGACTTTCTTGTTTGTTCTCCAGTATAACCGGATCTATTCTCCAATCTCGTTCGGGAAAAAATATGACCCTAATGGCAATTACATTAGGCATTTTCTCCCGATACTTAAAGGTATGCATGCTCGTATATTGCTTTACAATTCATTAGCTTTTTACGTTTGTTTGTTTGTTGTCATGAAAGTGACGTTTGTGTTGCAGATATGCCTAAGGAGTATATATACGAGCCGTGGACTGCTCCTCAAAGCGTACAGGTTAAGGCAAAATGCGTCGTCGGAAAAGATTATCCAAAACCAGGTAGGTTATTATCAGTTACACTCTCTTGGTATCAACAAGCATAAACTTTCATCTCGATAAATCGTCGCTTTTGTTTTTGTTTTTTTTATGTTCAGTTGTGGCGCACGATCTTGCTAGTAAAGAATGCAAGCAGATGTTACACGAGGCGTACGAGTTGAACAAAAGGTTAAACGGGAAGGTGAGTGAAGATGATTTGAAATGTTTGAGGCGAAAAACGGAGGATGATAATAGACAGAAGAATCCCAAATCCAAGAGGCTTAAACAGACGAAGATCGAGTTTTCGACCGAGGATTCTGAAATATAATTTCTGCTAATTTTTCCTTCCTCAGATAGTATTTGCAGGAGCAGTTTTGTTCATTTTCCAGTCATTTTATCCTCAATAGCTAATTTTACCAGCCAAACAAAGCCTACTAAATATATTTAATTAGTATTTAGTACTATTAAAATATTTGAAAACATTAATATTTTAGATCGTTTTGTTGCAGTTGAAATTGAAATTTATATATAACATTTTTTGAACATTAATTTCTAAAACATTTTTTTGCAAATTACAAAAAAATCTATTGACTCTCCTCTTCACGATTAACCCCGTTGGAATGAATAACACAGGCTTCTAATTCGATTAGCTGTAACGAATTTTTCAAATTCCGCCGATTCGGAACAAGTTTTTTCATTTTAATTTAAAAGAACTCAATTTCTATTTTTTGGGAAATTAATTAGAACTAATTTTTAACTCTTGAGAATAAAAAAAATGGTTTTTTTTAAATTTTAATTTTAATTTTTAAAAAAGTGCTATTTACGGTAATTAATTGTGTAATTGATCAGTCAAACGACTGATCCGAGGTTAGTGTTCGACTTCAATGTACAAGCCTCAAAATAAAAGGGTAAAACAGGGAATACAAGAAATTCACACGCGCGAAACTCGTCACACGTGCGACTCATCATCTCCATTTGCAAAACTCTCTCGTCCGCCCTACTCAGTAAAACTTCCCCACTCTGATTTCATTTTTCATTTCCGTTTAATAATTTTATCAACAGACTGTTTTCCGATCAAAGGGGCCGACCTGAGAACACACCCAAATCCGTAATCGGATCCGAATCATGTTCAGAAGGCTTGCTATCCAGCTCCGCACTCTCGCCCCGGCCCGATCCACTCGCGCCGCTGCTCGATTCGCCGTCGGATCTCCCATTGCTCCGGAGAATGTCATCCGTCCCTTCCCCATCTTTTCCAGACACTTCGCGGCTGAATCCGGTGAGTTTCTCTAAACCCTAATTTTGTGAATGTTGCGTCGATTATTAGGTTAATTTGAAATTAAAAAAAAAAATGTTTGATTATTAGGTGTGACGAAGAGAGTGGAGGATGTAATGCCGATTGCTACTGGTCACGAGCGTGAAGAGCTCGAAGCCGAGCTTCAAGTGAGTTATACTATCATTAATTTGTTATCATCTCTTTTTTTTTTTTTTTTTTTTTTTTTTAATAAATTCGAGTTGATAGTGTTGGTTGTTTGATCGTTCTCTTTACCAATTCCTTTATGGATTTTTGTTTTTGCTTTAACTAGGGTAAGGACATTCTGGAAATTGACCACCCCTCTGGTCCATTTGGAACCAAGGTCAGTGTCTAAGTCTCGTGCTTTCGGAGTTTTGAGGTTGTTTTAATTTCTGATGACCGAGTTTTTTTACATAAATATCAGCAAAGAACTAATTATTGAAAAAAAAAATGCAACGAAGGCTCTGAATTTTAATTTTATTGAGAATACTACATTTATGGCCTAGGATTAATGAGAAATGTAGTTTCTTACACATACTTTATTCTGAATTTAAATGCAAGAAGTAGGTAGCTTTATCTTTTGGTAGAGCTGGAGATAGAGATTGAACAAACTGAATTAAAAGTTGGGTGACACACTATGAATGTAGTGGTTATGTCATAAGTTATTGTCTGGAATTTACATAATATTTTACGTAGCTTTGATTCAATCCTTTACTTCGTCAGTTCACTTTGGAAATCATATAAAATATCTAACTCTGCTTTGTTATTTTTAGATCTCCATGTTCTTCATTCATGAGGGTTAGAAGGCTTTATCTATACTTAGTGTGATAGACTTAAACGAGAATTCTTTCTTACAACCACAACACTTAAGGTGAGATAGAACAATGAAATCAAAGAGTACAACTCTAATAATCAACTACAAATTTTGTACACTAATTGCACAAGAGATAATTTATGAACTAAGAAGCTAAAGTTAAATATTATGCACGGTAGGTTAACTAAGTAAAATTTAATTCCATGTCTTAGAATGACAATCAAATGCAAAATCAAAGTCGGACTTAACCTTATTTGTTCGGTATTTGCTAGATTAAAAGTTTGCGAGTTGTTGATGGTCCAAATGATACCAAAATACATTTTTTTTTTAATTATGGTTGGGAGTTGGGAAGAGAGTGGAGAGCCTAAGATTGACCTTCTTCTGATTATAAAATAACTGTTTCTCTGTTAGAGTCTGAATTTGTTAATTTATTGAACTTAATACCTCGAAAAAGTATATATTTGTTGAATGTTCCAATCATTGTCTATATTTTCTACTTGTCACAAAAGGGGTTTTGACTAACATAGACTCCTTTCTTTTTTGCCTGCAGGAAGCACCTGCTGTGGTCAAGTCGTATTATGATAGAAGAATAGTGGGGTGCCCTGGAGTTGAAGGCGGTAAGCCTTTTTGCTGCATTTTCTTACTAATAGGGTAATATCGTAAAATTATAATTCTTGTTCTCCTCAAATACTCTAACCATATGATCTGCATGTTCATAATTTAAACAGAGGATGAGCATGATGTCGTTTGGTTCTGGCTAGAAAAGGGAAAGCCACATGAATGCCCAGTCTGTACGCAATACTTTGAGGTAATTAACGAGGCACTTAATTAACTTGTTCTGATTTGAAAAGTGATTACATAGTGAGAATGGACTGAATAACAATTAGTATACGCCTCGAGAATTATATGCATTTATTTGCATGAGAAATCAACGGTCAACATATTTGAGTTAAGCGGGTATTTTGAGAAAGTAAAAAAGAAAGTCTGAAATTAGTTTTGGGTGTTCGATTAGATTGCCTATCAATGAATTGGACACATGTTTACAAGTGTGGAAAGTAGCCTGACTCGTATATTTACAATTACGTATGTGAAATAGTTCGAGAAGTAGACAGGTACGTGTGTGAAATGCTTTGTCTAATTTGAAAATGATTTCTCTTCCGGATAGTGTTATATCCAACTGCAAACATGTTAGTTAATTAGCTTAACGCATTTCGTGTAGTTCTTGTGCTCTGAGTAAAAGGTGTAGTACTGATTTGCCTTGCCAACTTTTACGTAAACAAATTTATTTTCTTTGTTCTCTCTTTCCCCCTCAGTTTTATGGTTTCTTTAACTTCTCTGTTATTCCTATCAAAATATTCATTTCATTTATTCAATCGACAGCTGGAAGTGGTGGGCCCAGGTGGTCCCCCCGATGGTCATGACGATGAAGAGGAAGGTCACCACTGAATATAGTTTGACAGTTTTGCACCCAGAATAAGATCTGGTGAGAGAACAATGAATTATGTATCAATTTTTTTCGCTTGCCTTTTGAACTGATTTGTTTTGTCTACCGGGTTTGTTTGGCAACAATTTGACCCGTTTATCTTTTATCGGTTTTTTTAATACGAGCGGGTCTGCCACTCGAAATATGGATTTTATACACTTTTAGTTTTTATCATGCAGCAGCAACAGCACATAATAATTGATGGCAACAAATACTTCTATCATTATTGCCAGTTCTATTGTCATTAAACATGAAAATCTGCGTAGTCTCTATTCTTTTTTAGATGAATAACTGTTCATTTAAGATTATGCTAGCATTTCATGTATGTTGCATTTCGATGGGAGACTTCGGGGTAATTTGTTTCAGATGACTCACAACAATGTCTCGAATTTGAGTTACGTTGGTTTTTTTTTTCTTCCTATAAGATGACTTAAATAAAGTTTCATCAATCCTGGAAGATAGGTTTGGGACCGAGTTGGGTCAGTTGATTATCGGCCTAACAGTTGATACGTCTTAGGCATATTTACCGCATTAGTTCACTTAAAAAAAATATTCCTAGTTTGGGACTATGTCATCATCATTTATAAGTTTAAAATAATTAATAGCAATTTCGCAAAAAACACAACTACGGGTGGAAGCTTTATGTCATTTTTTCTTCCCTTTTGAGTTTTTTTTGATTAATTTAAAATACTATCTATTTTGATATATGCAAGTTTTAGATTTGATTTGGTTGAAATAATTTCATATTTAAGTTCTATTTAATAACATTTTATTAATATAGTTGAATGGTCGATAATTATCGGTCAACCGACTTTTGATGATATTATGAACCATCAACCAACAATTCATCGATCGATCGGTTGAGATTTTCGACTTCTATTGAAATTTACTATCGATTGTTGGGTAAAACCAATCCAATTCCAGCCTACTAAAAGATTTGCTAATAAATACACGTGCATTCCTAGATTACTGTTTTTTTCTTCTTCGAAACTTTTAATTTGGTTCATATTTGTCCAATTTCGACCCCTAGTGAAAACTAATAAAATTAAAAAAAAAAAAAAAAAAGAATTGGGATGCTTTACCTAACAATGAGCATTAAATGTTCTCTCGTGTACTTGGGATTTTTAAATGGAATATTAAAAATATTATTTTATTTGACAAATAAATGGAATAGATTCAATAGGTGCTCTTATATATTTGACAATGAAGAAATTATAAGCAACTATACAAGTGTATTGGGTAAATTTACACTTTTGTATAATAATATATTAATCATACGAGAAACGTAAATTACACTTGACTAATTATGTGTGAGAAACTCGACCTATTGACCGTTGATAAAGGGATTCAAAACTGAATCTATCAACACAAATTCACTTACTTCAACCGTTAAGTCATACCTTACAGTACTCTTATGTATATTTTAAAATCTTGCCAAATAGTGTGAAAGAACAAAATGTCACTTTTCTTCCTTTTGGAATAAATAAGGGGAATAAATAACTTCGCCCCCTACCGTTGGTCTCAATACCTAAGTTATATATTAGACCTAAATAAATTGCACCAAAGTACATTATCCAAATAATATATAGTCACTTCAAAATCTTAATGAGAATATTACACTTTTAGCCTTTTTTCATGGCAGAAAATAAAAGTAACAACCTTTCTTCCATACTTTAACAAAATTGTCAAAGAAAAAGTTGAACTATTGGAGCATCTATTACTTAATATTTGTCTTAATTAAAATACAATAATCCATCGGACGAGGTTCATCAATAATGAATAATTTAATACATGCCGATAAAAATTATAATAAGAAATATATTACATTATTTGTAATAATATTTAATATGAAATTAAATTACAGTGATAACGTCAACATTCATATAAGTCTGATAATACAAAACCACTTCGAATTTAATTGTCATAATATGAAATTGATCAGTAAATAAATAAATAATAAAAATAATAATTACAAAAAATAGTAAGGAATTTTTTTGTATAAAAATTGCCATTGGAGTTACTTATTAACTCCTTTTATATATATAATATTTAATTATAAAATAAAGATAAAAAGCCATTTCTTATTAGGGGACTACTCATATTCCTAAGTGGCAGCATTTGTTTTTAAATTTTTTCTTTTTCGAATTTGATTCACTGACAGCCAAACAAAGTATAAATAGTTAATTTCAAGTGGGGTTTTGATTTAATTTTAGTAGACAATTAGTGCCAACAGCATATACCTTAGAAATTAATTAATTAATTAATTAATTAAATAAAATAAAAAACTATAAATGTAGAACAAAAGACTTTTCTATTTCTGATAGGATTCTTCTCTTGCAAGTAGCGGTGGAGTTGACATACAAAAGATTTCAAGTATACTACTCTCCTAAAAGGAGGGGGGCAAAAAGACTAGGCACAAATTCATTTTAATTAAAAGTTAGATCCTACTTACATTTACTAGAGTGATTAAATTATATAATTGGTGAGATAAAGGACGTTATGTTTAACGATCAGAGTTCGATCTTGTTGATTTATATGCTTGTAGAAATTAATCTTATTTAGTTGTAACAGTTAATTGTTAAGACAATAATATTTTGCAATTACAATTCTCGCGTGAACACAATATTTTAACTAGTAAAAGCAGAATAAATAACGCAAAAAATTAATACAGTTCGGACACAAAACCGTTCTATATCCGCGAGGACCACTGCAAATAAGGTTTCACTAGTTTACATTTACAGCGTACATTATAGGATTTATTAAAATAATAAAGACTTCATCCTTAAGGTAATGTTTGCAAACGCTTTTTGAAAGTGATTATGAGCTTTTTTTTGCTCATAATCTGTTTTCAGGTGTTTGCATGCAAAATTAACTTTTGTTTTTGTTTCTCTTAAAACAATCTGCTTTAAGCTATTTTTTTAAAAAACAACCTAACTCTGCCTTTTCTATTCAAGTTCATTTTCCAGAATATTTGCAAACACCCACAACTTTTTAGAAATAAACACTTAAAACTGATTTAACTCACAATCACTAACTTCTGTTTTTAAATAATCATTTGCAAACACCACCTAAATCTATACGTCTTGTTTCTTCACAAACTGATCTATCCGCACTTCTTGTACGTACTATAAGTCTGAACAATTCTAATACTAATGAAATAAATGCATTACTAACTAAATAATTAATTTAATTTAATCCAACCGAGCTCGTACAATCGATTAAATGCATGAAATATTATATAAGTATGGAATTGAGCACATTAACTAAGGTTTGAAAAAACTTGTCCAAATTAGCATTATCTGAGTAATCTAATCCCAGTGAGATCATTTGAGATAATCCATCATCATTACTTCTTTTTAATAATCCATAATTATTGTCCTTTTCTAGTGTAACCTCAACTTGTACTTATTGTAAGAAACAAAATTAATCTGCAATTAAGGAAAGTGTAATTAAGGTAAAGTCCACGGTGGCATGATTACTGGCTAAAAACATGGGCCCACTTGCTGATGTCATAATGCGAAATAATGGGCCACAAAATCCATTTTTTTACGGCCCACTTATTGCTAAATCTCACCTGGTGGCTCCTCCCACCACACCACTGTGCTCAGAAAAGAATTGGTGCTTTTGTGAAATATAAATAATTATTATATTGATATATACTATATTATATGTAAATATATATTTACCACTTGCTTAGGGATGAAAATCGAGACGAAATTATGAATTCCACCGACTCCGATTTAAAAAAAAAAAAAAAAAATCGATTTCGATCAATATTTTCATTTTGAATTACGAAAGTCCCGACTTTTTTTTCCAAATTTAGTAGGAACAAAATTCGAAGACATAAGAAATTCCAATTTTCAAACAATTACCACTATTTCTGGAAATTTACGCATATAATATCAATATCATATGTGGCTAAAACAATAGATTTTCCGACTCTGATCTGAAAATTTTATATTTGAACAGATTCTTTCATCTAGTTTCCGATTTTTTTTTTCTTTCAATATTTTCAGTTTTGCCGTTTGGAACAAAACTGGAATTGGTTTTTTACTTTTGATTTTTTTTTCTATTTCTAAAAGTGCTAATTTTGATCGGATTCGTTCAATTTCCACCGCTTATATATACATATAAAACATTCTTGAAATTTGTCTACACTTATTGCTCTAACAAAACAAAATTCAAAGAGTTTAAAATAATCACAAATGATTTTTCAAAACTGATTAAAAATATAAGTATCCAATACAGACTATACAGTCATCTTCATTCCCTTATGTGTAATTATAGTATTCTCATTAAAAAAATTAAAAAAACAAAAAAAAAAAAAAAAAAAGAACAGCTCATTTAACAGGCAAACAGACATATGCAGTATGGTAATGCTCTGTTATAGTCACAAGTTGTCATGCAAGAAAGGTCCACCTTTGGACCCTTTTACCAGTGCGAGAAGTGTGTGTGTGTGTATATATATATATATTATATAGTTTATTGTGCAATACCACAAAATGCTAATATTTGTATTTCCAATGTATTTTGTCAATCACAAATATTTTTATTACAACCTAAGGAAATATATATATACTAACCTATGTAAATATAATCTAAGTAGTGTCAGAAAAAAAAATATGCTGTGTCACAACAATATAATGATGATACATTTTGACAGTTGAACTTCACATTCAAGATAATGGGCATCCATCAATCATCATAAAATACATAAACAAATGATTGAAACTTAGATATTTTTTTTTTTAATTAAAATTTTATTTTATTATTTTTCCAAATTAAATTGAATTATTCCCCCCTGTTGTTTTCAGAAAATATTCTTGAAGCTGGAAGCTGTAAGCATAGATTCTCTCCCCTATGCTATTCATCTACACTCCTCCAACCTCAACGGCTCTGGCTAATTTATCGAAAAATCATTTCTTTTTATTATCCTTTTTTTATATATATAAAATAAAATAAAATATATATATTTTTTTTAATTTTGGGTTGTATTTAATTTTGGTGGTGAAAAAGATTGGTTTCTTTTTGCCATTTGTCTTTCCCTCTCCTTATCATGGATTCTCTCTCTCTCTCTCTCTCTCTCTCTCTCTCTCTAGTCTCTCTCTCTAGAGTTTCTCTCTCTTGTATCTTTTTGAGTTTCTAGGCAATGTGCAGCTGGTTCACACATACGTGTTTTATTCCCATTTACAACCTACCCCATTTGGGTATAAATAGGGCTCTGTCCCAGTTTACACTTGTCTTCATTACAAGCTTCCTTTCATTTTTATTACACACTTAATTTTCACTCAATTTCATATCTTCTGTTGCAAATACACAAATGAGCTATTCAAATCCGTCAATGGGCTCTGGTTAGTTTCCCATAAGAAACAAAACCCTCTTCTTTTCTTGATCTTTTATTAATTATTTTCTACCCATCTCTGCATTTTGTGTGGTAAAAACGTGTTCTTGATGTAAAGACTGCTTTTTTAGGGCATTTTTTTTGCCTTATAATCTCTGCAATTAAATTATTCTGTTCTTTTTTTTTTTTTTTGAAGTAATACATTTTTAGTTCTCTGTTTTATGGTTCAATAAGTGTTTTCATTAATATTTTTTTTTTTGTAAATTCAGGGAGCAGAGCAGGTAGAAGAATTGAATTTGGGAGAACTTATGTGGTTAAGCCCAAAGGTAAACACCAAGCTACAATAGTTTGGCTGCATGGCCTTGGTGACAATGGCTCCAGGTATTATTATCATCATTATATTTATTTTCTTGTATTTATTTAATCACTTTTCAGATATTTAATCTAATTTCGATGTTGTTTTCGAGTTCGAAATATGTCGAATAATTTGGTTCAAAGAGGGCTGCTTCAAGTTGAAGTTTTTATGTTCATCATATCAGACAATCTTGAATTAATTAGTATGCAAATGTCGATTTTTTTTTTGTCTTACAACGATTTACGGTAACGAAATTGTGTCGATAGTATATACTTTATGAGAAAGGGATTGTGTATATAAGTGGACTTTATATCACTAAAGGGTAAAAGTGTTAGAAAAAAAGTTGTTCATCTCAGCACAGAATGTCAATGAGGTTTTCGATTTTTGAGAATATCCCTAAATTAATCGAATTGATGAGTCTTTAATATATATATATAAGCATTTTATCGATCTTTATGCTTTGTATCGTTTGTCTTGTCTGAATTCTTCGATTAGTAAGAAAAATCATATATTCTTCACCTGTTTATGTTTCTTTTGGACCACTAGTTGATGATGTGATGAAGCATATATATATATTTAGGATTATTCTTTTAATATAATGTCAACATTATTTCTGCAGCTGGTCACAACTCTTGGAAAATCTCCCACTTTCGAACGTAAGCATTATTTATTTTCCGTATCTATATATATATATATATATATATATATATTTATTCGGTTATTGAACTTTATTGTGCACAGATAAAATGGATATGCCCTACTGCTCCTACTCGTCCCGTGGCAATACTCGGTGGTTTTCCTTGCGCTGCTTGTAAGTCGAAAAAACAAATAAAAAAAAAATCCAATTTCGATGACATAGATAAATAAATACTGCAATTTTTTTATTTTTTATTTTTTGGAAAGTCTTGTTTAACGATTGATTTTATTATCAGGGTTCGATGTGGGAGAGCTTACCGAAGATTGTCCGGATGATATCGAAGGCTTAGACGCCTCGTCAGCACACATTGCTAATTTGTTGTCAACTGAGCCAAACGACAGTACGAACATTAATTTTTTTTCTACTGAATTTATTCATTTCATTATTATTATGTGTGACATATGTGTTTATAAAGTAAAATAAATCAAATAATTTAATTATGATTAATGTAAGTAATTACCAAAATTAATTAATTTTGTGTAATTTTTTACAGTTAAACTCGGTATCGGAGGGTTCAGTATGGGTGCGGCAACTGCACTTTATTCGGCAACGTGCTTTGCTCAGGGTAGATATGGAAATGGCTATCCTTACACTGTTAATCTCAGGGCCATTGTTGGTCTAAGTGGCTGGCTTCCCGGTGCCAGGTCAGCTTCTACTCTTTCGTTTCCCAAAATACCCTTGTGTATAGTTTTTTTTTCTTTTTTTTCTTTTTTTAACTAATCTTGACCGTCCGTTATTTAATTACAGAACTGTGAGGAACAAAATCGAAGGATCACACGAGGCCACAAGGCGTGCTGCATCCCTACCGATTTTGCTGTCGCATGGACTTTGTACGCGATTCATACTTTCAAAAACTATACAATAAAGGATCGAATTAAAAAAAAAAATTGCTAAAAATAAATATTGATTGACATTATTAAGTTTCTTGAACAGGCGACGAAGTGGTTCCACACAAACACGGAGAGAAGTCGTACCATGTCTTGAGCCAAGCTGGTTTCCGAAACCTCTCGTTTAAAACCTACGAAGGGTATTTAAGACATTTCATTATAATCTTGAATATTTTTTATAGAATTTTTTTTTTTTGAAATTTTGCTCCTTTTTTTTTTCTTCTCGAAATATAGGATCGGGCATTATACGGTGCCGAAGGAGATGGATGAGGTGTGCAATTGGTTAAACACAAGGATGGGGTTTTAGAGTTGTGTGATGGCAAAAGGGTAATATTAAAAAGGAGTTTGGAGCAATAATAATAAATAATAAATAATAAATAATAAAACAAGGGTGGGAGAGTATACTTATAAATTTTTAGTTGCAAGAAAGTGGATTGAAGAGTAATAAAAGTTAATATTTGGTTACAGTTTTGAGTTCACATTAAAAATAAATTTTTGTTTGTTTGTTTGTAATTTTTATTTACAATTTATTTACTTTCACCTGTGAAAGAGGAAAATGCTGTGTAAGATTCATGTGAGTATTATGGGTTTGATGATAATAGTATTCTTGTTTTTGTTGCAAGTGTTAATAGCTCGAGCTCAATTCGTTTACACCCTATTCTCGTATAATAGTCCACAATTCACACAAGATGTGTATATCGCATTGGACAAGTGGCAAAGTAATTATGAAATTACAAATAACATATCAACTTAAATATGAATTTATTAATTCAAATGTGTTAATAACAAATAAATTACAAAAACCCCTCTAAACTTGAATTAGATTACAAAAATCACCTCCATCTATTTATAATTACCAAAAACTCCATTATGTTTGTTTTCATCTTAGAGCAACTCCATTAGAGTTATTAAATGAGTTATTAAATCTCTTAACTACCATTTGACTTCTCAAATTTAAAAATTTTGTTCTCCAAAGGGATTATTAAAATAAAATTGTATTTTGATATTTCTCCTCTTCGAATCTAAAAATACTTCATACGGATTGAGTTATTAAAAAAATAACCACCTAACCAACCATTCACAAATTGACATATGGCAGTTACATATAAAATTATCAAAAAACTTCCAATTGATAATAAAGTAACGGGGCTACCTTTAAGTTGGAAGGAAAAAGTAACGGAGCTACCTTAATCAAACCTCAAGGGGGTAATGTGCCAAATTTGATACCACATGGGGGTCATCTGGTAAATGGTGAAACCACAAGGGGGTTAAGTGCTATTTACCCAATTTAATATGCTACCTTTCTTGTCAGGAAAAGAAAACGCTACTTGATCAAATGCGACAACTCCTCAAAAACGCGCTTCCCTTACTTCGCACTCTGGTTTAGGGTTTAAGCAAAACAAAGGCATAAACCCCTTTTCCGCCAAATTTCTCCAATTAGGGTTTCTTCACGCACACAGACACACACACAATTCCCACCATGAATTACAGGTTTCAAAACCTGCTAGGCGCGCCGTACCGCGGCGGAAACGCCGTCGTAGTAAACAACACTCTACTAATCTCACCGGTCGGCAACCGCGTCGCCGTCACGGACCTCCAAAAATCCGAAACCCTGACACTACCCTGCCAAGCCTCCACCAACCTGCGCCGCATCGCCGCCTCGCACGACGGTGTGTTTCTCCTCACCGTCGACGAGAACAACCGCTGCCTATTCATAAACCTACCCCGCCGCGCGGTTCTGCACCGCATCTCCTTCAAGCATCCCGTCGCCGACGCGAAATTCAGCCCCGACGGCAAGTTCATAGCCGTCGCCGCCGGCAAACTCCTCCAGGTATGGCGTGCCCCTGGGTTTAAAAAGGAGTTCTTCCCCTTCGAGTTGATTAAGACCTACGCCGATTGTAATGATCGGATTACATCTCTGGATTGGAGCCCTGATTCAAATTATTTAGTTGTTGGGTCGAAAGATTTGACGGCCAGGCTCTTTTATTTGAAAAATGGGAATGCGAAGAAGAATAGTTACACGAAGCCGTTTCTATTTTTGGGTCATAGAGATGTGATTCTAGGTGCATTTTTCGGGGTTAATAAGAACACTAATGTTGTTACGAAAGTTTATACCTTTTCGCGCGATGGAGCTATTTTTAGCTGGGGTTATAGTGACAGTGATGGTAAATCTAATGAAATAGACGGAGATTTTTCAGATCCAGAGTCTCCTGGTACACCAGAGCAGGGGCAGGGGCAGGATGGGGAAGATGGAAATGAAGTTAATTTGAAGAAAAGGAAAAAAATTGACGCTAAAGATGATGAAATGGATGGAACAAACAGGCCAGCATTGCATAAGATGAAATGGGAACTGTTAAAAAAGAACTTCTGCATGCAAGCTCCCGCAAAGTTATCGGCATGCGACTATCACAAGGGGCTTGATATGGTGGTTGTAGGATTCTCTAATGGGGTGTTTGCTCTCTATCAGATGCCTGATTTTGTGTGCATTCACTTGTTATCAATTTCGCGAGAGAAAATCACTACTGCTGTATTTAATGATCTCGGAAATTGGTTGACTTTTGGATGTGCAAGGCTTGGTCAGCTGCTCGTGTGGGAGTGGAAATCGGAGAGTTACATTCTAAAGCAGCAGGGGCATTATTTCGATGTGAACTGCCTTGCATATTCATCAGATTCGCAACTGTTGGCTACAGGAGCAGATGATAACAAAATCAAGGTACATTGAAAGTCCACTGATCGGTTAGGTACTGCATTAGCGTTTTGCATTTCGATGGGAGTGGTGAAATATACATTCAATTATTATGTTCACAAAATGAATCCCATTATACACCTCTAAATGGTTTTGTTGCAATTAGTCTCGAATTTTTACTTTCGAATTTGTACATATATATATCTAAGCTAAAACGATTGGAATTTTAATTATTGACAGGTTTGGACTGTCTCGTCAGGCTTCTGCTTTATAACATTCTCTGAGCACACAAATTCTGTTACTGCACTTCATTTCATAGCTGGCAAGAGTTGTCTACTGAGTGCATCTCTGGATGGGACTGTTCGTGCATGGGATTTGATCCGCTATCGGAACTTTAGAACCTTTGTAACCCCTACACCAAAGCAATTTGTTTCCTTGGCCTCAGATCAGAGCGGTGAAGTGATATGTGCTGGAACTCTTGATTCATTCGAGGTGTTAATATTTACTATTTACGAAAAAAATACATTTTTTTAAATCATACTGCTCCGTGATTTTTTTACTGACGAGGCAATACTCGATAATGCTTGTAGATATTTGTCTGGTCAATGAACACAGGCCGGTTATTAGATGTTCTCAGCGGCCATGAGGGTCCTGTTCACGGATTAATGTTTTCTCCCACTAGTGTAAGTTGCTTTGGTTATGTAAAGATGATGTTAATTTGATTATTTTTTGTGCCTATTAATGAAGATAAGTTTCCTGTTTACTATGCAGGCTATCTTGGCTTCCTCTTCTTGGGACAAAAGCGTGCGTTTGTGGGACATTTTTGAAGGAAAAGGTGGCGTTGAAAAATTCGATCATCCGCATGAAATTCTTACACTTGTCTACCGCCCGGATGGCAAACAGCTGGCATGTAGCACGCTAGATGGGCTGATTCATTTCTGGGACCCAATAGAAGGCTTGGAGATGTTCTCAATTGAAGGTCGTAGGGACATTTCAGGCGGTCGTTTGATGTCTGATCGTAGGTCGTCTGCTAACTCCTCTGCTGGAAAGTGCTTCACAAGTTTGTCTTATTCTGCTGATGGTAGCTACATATTAGCTGGGGGAAGTAGTAAATACATTTGTATGTACGATGTTGCTGACCAGGTTAGTTTTATCATCTACTCAACTGGAAACTACTATTTGTTCGTCCTCAGTTTTTTTCGTTATATTGGCGGGTAATATTAATACAATCAGTTATTATTTATTACCTTTGACAAAAAACACCTACAACTTTTAAATTGACAACTTAAAATTAAAGAATTTGCAAGCACACCCAACTTTTGGAAATATGCATTTATTTTCAACACTACACAGAATCACCACCGACTACTTATACAAATGCTTTTGCGGAGGTATATATAATTGTACAAAACATATCAGGTACTGTTGCGGAGGTTCCAAATAACCCAGAATCTATCCTTAGATGGGGTTCTTGATTTCTTGAACTCAAAGAACATGACCGAAGCAGGACCATTGGATTTGATAGACGACCACGACAGTGACACAGAGGAAGGCGTGGATAAACAAATACGCGACAAATTGGCATACGACTTGCCAGGATCAATGCCCAACAATGGAAGGCCAATTATCCGAACCAAGTGCTTGAGAATTGCACCAACTGGCAGAAGCTGGGCAGCTGCAACTACAGAAGGGGTGATGTTATATTCAATGGACGAATCTTTCATATTCGACCCAACTGATCTGGACATTGATGTTACACCAGAGGTGAGAGCTTTACTATTAGTTACATCCACGCGCAATTATTTTTGCATTAACTGTAACTTCAATTTATCTGTTTGAGCCAGGCGGTTGATGCAGCTCTGAAAAACGATCAACCGAGAATAGCTTTGATACTCAGTCTTCGTATGAATGAGGATGCATTGATAAAGAAGTGCATAGTTGCTGTGGCTCCTTCTGATATACCAGCTGTTGCTTCGTCGGTTCCGTTTAGATACTTGCAGAGATTGGTTGAGGCTTTGGCGGAGCTTTTGGAGAAGTGCCCTCATTTGGAGTTTGTAATGCAATGGTCCCAGGTGATTATATCAATTAACGATAATTATTACCTCGGCATTTTATTTATCTGCAAGTTAGATTTTGACGCTGTCTTTTGGTTTTTGCAGGAACTATTTAAAGCACACGGCGATTCTATCCAGCAGAATTCGAGAAAACTGTCCCCTGCTATGAAATCCTTGCAGAAGGCAATTACTATGTTACATCAAGATTTGGCTGACACGTGCTCTTCCAACGAGTATATGCTTCGATACCTATGCTCGACGAGCAACAAGAAATAACTGTGATCTTAAACTCAAACACTTCGGTAAGAAACTTTTTCGAAGTTCTTTTTTCTCTTTCACATGTTTTGTTTTCTTGTATGTCTGCCCTAACTATTGAAAACTGAGAAGAGCAATGCAACAAATACTACAACTACAGCCTGTGGCATGTACAACAATCTGTTAGAGATATTCTACGTTCTTCCATAATGTCTTTGTTTGTGTTAGTTAATACACGTTCGGTGTTACGGGTTTACGAGCAGTGGGAAGAAAATAGATGGGAATCGAATAATTTGTAACAGAGATTCAATCGAATAACCACTTTTCATGTTGTTTATGATTAGTATAAAATTATACATTGTCTTTATATATCATCAATGAGAAAAGGCTGATGATATGCTGATATTTTCCCTTTCTTTAGGGATTGAAGCTGTTTTGAGGATGATGTCATGCATAACAATTTTGAAATTTTGACACCCCCACCACCACCACCACCACCACCACGACAAACAACTTATGCGGCTGTGGAGGAAAAAAAGATAGATTATGAGCATTTTTTTTACTGGCAAAAGAAAATGTATGTGATGAGATGGTGTTGACATATTGTATATTTTAAAGTTATTATTCTCTGTGTTGTTATTGATTAATGAATTATTGGCATATGCAAAAGTTTTGTTCTACATTCTCTTTTTCTTTATATGAGATTTGATTTTTTATTTTTTTTTGTAATAGCTGAATTGACATCTTAAATAATTTTATAATAATTGAATTTTGTTCTATGTTCAATTGATTCAATAATTTTTGGAGTTGGTACTAAAAAAAATTGAAAAATTATCTGTATGGACAAGGCAATACAATTATTTTTGTAGGGTAAAAAAATCTCTTTTGTTTCAGAAATTACATCAAACCCCCCTGCAATTTGTAAGTTTATTACATTCACCCGGCAAAAGGGTGTTAATGTAACACATTTACAAATTTCAAGTGGATGGATGTATTTATTGGAAAATGAGGGGTTCTTTTGTAATTAGTCTTTACATCAGGGCGGTTGTAAATTACCCTCAAATTATTTAATTAGTCTTTAACTCATCCAATGAAATCCGATTACCCCCTCCACTTCATTTGAAGTGTCGCACATTAAATAAAATTATAAAATATTAAATAATCTTTGATTATTAGAAGAATTTTTTTTTATTAATTTAACAAAATCATCCCTTTCTGTAGCTTTTCCATCTTATTATAGATCTCACATGTCAATGAAAATTTCATCATCCTTACCACCAGTTCCGAAAACCCAAAACGCGAAAACCCGAGATAACTGAAACAAAACATTATTGAACGAAACTGAAACTGAAAAGCGAACTCCCACCTCCCTTAGAAGTAGCAAAACAAGTTCTAAGGAATGGAGTTTCTTGTTTTCTTACAAACGAAAAAAGAAAAGAAAAAGTGAAATTACAAAAGAGCCCCTCCATTTTCATCTTGTCCAACTAATAGTCCCTCTTGACACGAGTCTCGTCCTCGTCCACGTCAGCCATCCCAAAGGTGTGCTTGACCGCATCGGCCGCCCCCTGAGCCATCCCCTTCACCTGCTCGCCGGTCTTCTGCATTATCCCGCCGGTCTTCTCTTTCCCGGCTTGAGCCGTCTCCTTCCCAGACTCAGCCATTTCCGAAGCCTTCTCCTTCGTGGCTTGAGCCGCGCCGCTAGCCTTCTCCTTGGCGGCTCCCATGTATCCACCAGTCTGCTCCTTGGCTTCACGGCTGTGCCCCTTCGCCGCGTCGGCGGCTTCCGAAGCCTTGTCCTTTGCTCCCTGAGCCTTGTCCTTCATCGTGTCCATTGCTTGCCCTGTTTTCTCCTGCACACACACACACACACACACACACACATATATATATATATATGACCATTAATTATATACATACATACATACACGCAGTAATGTGTGTAACTGTGTGTGTTTAATTAAAATTACCTGGGCTTGGCCCTTGGCTTCACCGGCGCGGTAGCTTTTCTGCTCGGACGACATTTTTTTCTGCTTGGAAAAGAATTAAACTTTTTGACTGGTTTTTCTGAGCTAAGGAAAATTGATTTTTTCTTCGATTTGAAAAGTTGTTGGAGATAATGAGTGAGTGTTGGTTTGGTTTGCATGGTGGGTTTATATAGAAGTTGTTGGGGTTTCAGGGAAGCTGACACGTGTCCAGCTGTTCGACGCGTGTAATGTTTACGTGCCTACTAAGCAGTGAGCTTTATTAAATATCCAGATTTTCTTTTTCTTTTTTTGTGATAGTTTGTTTATTGTTTCAGAACTTGAAGATCAGATCAGTGACGAAGCGGTTACTGATTTTGATGACGTGGCATTTGTTGAGGCCACAAAGATATTCGAGATTTTTTGAAAAGTGAAAATTAATTTCAACTCCTTTAAAAAAAAAAAATGGAAAAATTGAAATTCAGAGTTCTGGAAATTGGAAAGAAAAAACTTGTTCGGAATATTCGGATTTGTTTGGAATTTTTGGAATTATTTCATGGAAATTAAAATCGGACTGGGAATTAGAATCTCATCTAAATTCCAAATCCGATCCAAAAAAGAATATCGGAATCGTATTGGAGTTCGGCATGAAAATATGGTTCCAAAATTGAGAATTTTGCATCGGAATCGGAAATGCCATTCCAATATCCACCCCTAATTAATAATAATCTAGATAGTAGTGTACTCCAAGAACATGGCAAAGAAAATTGTGCTACAAAGTTGATGTGCCTCATCAGCTCGAACTGGAGATTCCGAAATATATTTATGGTCAAATTACACTTAAACCCCTATAAATTTTCAATTTAAGCACTTCCCGTTCTCAAAATTCGAAAAACTGAGTATTCTCCTTCAAAAGGTTAATTTTTGTTGCATTTTGCCCCAATTGTCCAATTTCCCCCCCGCACCCCCAAGTCTCGTATATATGCATATTCAGTAGTAGTAATTTAATTGGTTTTTGCCTTATATTACTTGTAGGGTTGTCAATCACCCCTGAGGAGAATCGACATTATCAAGTTACAAGTTCAACAAGTTTCTTGTGCTGATATAGTGATTTTTGCTGCAAGAGAAAGCGTTTTCGTGGTAACTCGTATTAACTCCTCCCTTATGTATAGGGTATACATTCATTAAATTCTTTTGATATCTTCAAGTTTCAGGCTGGCGGCGGCGCATTATTCTTCTGCCCGTTACCGATAAGGACAACTTTTTTTATAGGAGAAATAGATTTGGAGAAAAGAGAGAATAATATCTCTTACGTATATTAATCGTATATATAGTTACATGTAGGAAACCCTAACCTATTACACAAGATAACCTATTATACAAGGTAACTATAATAAATAAGAATAATAATAGTATACGTAATATATATATTATATCCGCTAATACACCCCCGTAGTTGAAACGAGAAAGGAGAAGACGTGGAGACTGGAGACAAACTGTTGGAACAGTTGAGTAGGGAGTCCTTTCGTGAAGATATTGGCAAACTGGTAGGCGGATGGGACGTGAAGAACTCGAACGTGTACCAAAGCAACTTTGTCTGGGACAAAGTGGATATCGATCTCCACATGTTTCGTACGAGAGTGTTGAATAGGATTGCTGGATAGGTAGAAGGCACTGACGTTGTCGCAGTACACAATAGTGGCTTTCGAAAGTGGGCAGAGCAACTCCAAAAGTAGATTGCGTAACCAAGTCGTTTCGGCGACGGCATTTGCGACAGCTCGATATTCGGCTTCCGCACTCAATCGAGAAGTAGTGACCTGTCGTTTGGAGGACCAAGAAATGAGGTTGTTGCGGGGAAAACACAATAGCCCGATGTCGAACGACGAGTGTCGGGGCAGCCACCCCAATCGGCGTCGGAGTAAGCGATAAGGGAGAGGTCCGGATTGGGGGAGAGCTGAAGGCCGTGATCGAGAATGTAGCGAATGATACGCTTGAGAGCCGCCATATGAGGTTCCCTCGGATCATGCATGAATATACATACTTGTTGCACAACATAACAGATGACGGGACGAGTAAACGTGAGGTATTGCAGTGCACCGGCAAGGCTGCGATAAAGAGTAGGGTCAGCAACGGGAGGTCCAATGGTCGAAGACAACTTGCTCTTTGTGTCAGCCGGTGTAAGACAAGGGTTGCAGGAAGCCATGTGTGCACGCTCTAGTATCTCGTCGGCGTACTTGCGTTGAGAGAGAAATAGCCCATGCGAGTAACTGAGATGCCGAGAAAGTAGTGAAGATCGCCAAGGTCCTTCATTGCGAACTCTTGATTAAGGGCAGCGAAAATAGAGCGGATCAATTCATGTGTGGAGGCCGTAAGTACAATGTCATCGACATACAACAGAAGGTAGGCGCATGAACTGTTGCGACTGTCGCCTGAACTGTTGCGACAGTACACAAAGAGTGAAGTGTCGGACTTGCATTCTCTGAACCCCATGGTAGTAATGTGAGATGCAAAACGCTTGTACCAAGTACGTGGTGCCTGCTTGAGACCGTAGAGTGCTTTGTTGAGACAACACACGTGAGTGGGGCGAGATGGGTCGACGAATCCGGGAGGTTGCTCGCAGTAGATAGTTTCAGAGAGATTGCCATGTAAAAAGGCATTTTTCACATCAAGCTGGTGGATTGGCCAGAATCGGGAGAGAGCAATACTGAGAACTGTTCGAACAGTTGTTGGTTTGACAACTGGGCTAAAAGTCTCGTCAAAATCGATGCCAGCCTGCTGGTGAAACCCACGAACAACCCACTGTGCTTTGTATCGCTCAAGGGAGCCATCAGACTTGAGTGTCTGTTTGTATATCCACTTACCAGAGATAACATTAGTGAACGGGGGGCGGGGCACAACATTCCAAGTATTGTTTTTAATTTAAGCAGTATATTCCTCAATCATGGCGTTTCGCCAATTTTGGTCAAGAAGAGCTTGGCAATAGTTGGTGGGAATGGAAGAGGTAGAGGACGCAACGAGAGAGAAAGGGACTTTGGGTTTGTGGATGCCCACTTTACTACGAGTCACCATAGGGTGAGCAGGGGGAGATGGGGGAGGTGTGGGAGTATGAGTAGGCGTTGTGAGCTGGTCATGGTCGAGAGGTGGTGCTGCAGGTGCAACAGGTGTTGGCTGTGTTATTGGACTGTTGGATGAACTGTTGGAACGGGGTGGTTCACTGTTGGAACAGTTGGATGGACTGTTGCAATAGTTAGACGAAGTCTGAGGGAGGAGGAAGAGGGACGGTGTGTTTTCGTCCAAGGCAGAGGTAGGAAGTGTGTTTGTGGGGGGAGTGGACTCAGCAAAGAGAAAGTGTGTTTCGTCGAAGGTAACATAACGAGAAATTATGATACGGCCAGTGGATCTATCAAGGCAACAATAGCCTTTGTGAGAGGAAGTGTGACCGAGATAGACACAATGAGTAGAACAGGGGGCGAGTTTATGTGGTGTGGTGGCGGTGAGGTTGGGATAGCAGAGACAGCCAAATACTCGAAGATGAGAGTATGTAGGTTTGATTAGGTAAAGAGCTTCGTGAGGGGTCCGGTTTTGTGTGGTTTTGGTAGGTAAGATATTGAGTAGGTGGGTGGCCATATGAAGAGCTTCGACCCAATAAGTAGGAGGAAGATGAGCTTGAAAGATGAGGGGTCGAATCATGTTGGTTATGGTGCGGATCATTCGTTCTGCGTGTCCATTTTGAGGGGAGGTGTGGGGACACGAAAAACGATTTAGGATGCCGTATTTAGTGAAGTAGTTTTGAAAATCCGCATTTTTGAATTCACGACCATTATCACTTTGTAAGGCTTTCAGGGGATGTTGGAATTGAGTTTTGAGAAGTGTATGAAAATTGACAAATGTTGTAAAAACGTCAGATTTATTTCGAAGAGGAAAAATCCATAAATAATGGGTAAAATCATCAACTAAGACAAGATAATATTTGAAACCCGTAAGACTAGAGATAGGAGAAGTCCATAAATCGGCATGAATAATTTGAAATGGAGCAACAATAGTAGATTTCTGAGAAAAAAATGGTAGACGAAAATGTTTGCCTAATTGACAGGCATTACAAAGAGACTCTATATGGTCTTTATTATGGGAAAGAAAAGTGCTAGAAAATAAACGGGACATGACGTGTTTGTTGGGATGGCCTAGACGCCGATGCCAAAGAGTGCGAGACGAAGGTGTTGCGACAGTGAGGAAAGCAGCGGGAGGTGAGGTGGGGGGAGGGACGCCAAATGGATATAGGTCACCGGAGCTATTGCACCTGAAAATCTCGACTCGACTCCGAAGATCTTTCACAGAAAAACCAAACGGGTCATTTTCAACCGAACAAGAGTTATCGCGGGTGAACTTTCGAACAGAGATAAGGTGTGTGACTATATTGGGTGTGACATAGACATTTGTGAGGCGGAAAGGAGTGGTGCGAAGAATTGTGTGCCCTATGTGGGTTATGGGGAGGGTGAAACCATTACCGACGACGACATGTTTGGGGAAATTACTGCCAGGATTAAAAACAAAATTGAAATCACCTGAGTGTGTTGCCATATGAGAGGTCGCCCCGCTGTCCATGAACCACTGTGACTCGGTAGGCTGCTGAAGTGTCACCGTATTCAAACGGTTTGCGAGATCCACCACGTTGGCACTGTTGCAGGAACTGTTGCAACTGTTGATGGAACTGTTAGAGTTGTGGCATGGTTGCTGCTGCGGATGAACCTAAGCAAGAGCCGAGTGGCCGGTGTAGGGTTCAGGTGGTCCAGTAAAGTAGGCTTGAGCTGCTGGAGTGGATGGGTGGTCCGATGTATTTGGAGCGGATCCCAAAATTGACGGTTGTCGGTAAGGTGCGCGCCAGAGTTGAGATGCGCCATGGGCACTATGGTAGCCGTAGTGCTGCATGGGGTGACGGTTAGTGCTGCGACCTCTGCGACGGTTGGATCGGCCACCCCCGCGCTAATAGCGCGAAGAACTACCTCCGCGGGAACTGTTGCAAGAACCGTTGCAACTGTTGGATGGACAGTTCGCGTTGGAGGTGTAGAAAACAGCAGCGGTCTGCTCCGGTTCAGGAATTCAGGTTTTTTCCATCTGAAGAAGCGATCGAGTTTGTAGAAAGCTGGGAAGGGGATTCTGAAAGGAGATGAGGTTGGAGACGGTCTCGTAATTTTTCGGAAGGCCGTGTAGGGTTTGTAGGACGAGTTATTTGTCGGAGATTGGATTTCCGACATGGGTCAAATTGTCCGTCGTGGCTTTGATTATTTGGCAATAATCGTGAATGGAGAGA